TAGCAGCTAATAACAAACATATCAGATTGAATGGAGATATTTTTCAGGTAACTGAGATATCGTCTACTCACCAGAGGCAGACATACACAAACTAAATGGATTATGTACTTCTCTGAGTATTTAATATCTCACAATCGATAAGCTACAAGTGTTCATATGAAGTGTTTGGATAATATGTGCAGTTTTTACAAAAACTAATTTCTCATTCTTTCTCTCATGTGGTATGTGCATGTAGATAATGACTGTTAAAAACGCTACGGACACTGAATTACGATTCATATTTTTAGCAAAATCCTCATACAGTGCACAAAACTTCATGCCTGGATTAACCTAAAAAAATATTTTAGCTGATCATCTTTATCTCTCAAATGAAATGTTTGGGTTTTTTTGTTTTTGTTTTTTTTTATTTTTGTTTTTTTGTGGGGAGGGGGGGGGGGGGGGGGGGGGATAGATTCAGATACATATCTATTTGTAATGATTTTGATTGTAAGCTGTAAATAAAGTAAGTAAGTAAACAAAAGATGGACATAACTTCAGGTCTGAAAAGTAAAACCAGTGCAAGAGTTCTTTTAATCTGCACTCCATCAAATGGCAAGCAGGGAGCTTTGAATGCCAGTAACACACAACTGTAACACACACATATATACACACAAGTCTGCAAGGGATTTTCCTATAATTTCCTACCAATGACAATGTGATGGATGACATTGGCTGTCTTAAAAACATTGATGTCATTAGCTGTGTTTAACGACTATAATTAATCTAAGCCTAAATAAGACAAATTGCAACTTTTTCATTTGCAAAGTGTTAAAATATGCAGTGACACTATATCTATTAATATGTGCAATAACTAATAACTAATAAGTCTTTTTTTTCTGCCTGTAACCTAACTAATTTTCTGAATTTTAAAGATTAATGTAAAAAAATAAAAATAAATAAAACAAGTCAAGTCATACAGAAATCACTGCTGTTGTGGTTAAATTCAGACAGTTAGTGATTAATGATACATATGTACTTAAAAAGAAGCCTACATAAGGAGACATACTTGGTCATACTGTCTGTAAGTTGAAGACTAGTCCAAAAAAACATCAAACATTGCCATGAAAAAGTATTTGCTGCTTCCTGAATTCTTATCTTTTTCACACATTTGTCACTGTGATCATCAAACAAATTCTAGTAATGCCAGTTCATACCAATTGCAATTTTTTAAATGATGATTTAATTTCTTTTAAGAGAAAATAAGCTATCCAAACCTTTCTGGCCCTGTGTGAAAAAGTAAAGGTCGCCTTTGTTAAATCATGAGTTAACTGAGATTAATCAAAATGTTTGGACTCTAGTTTCAGCTCTCAAAAAGCAACACATCATGAGACCATCTAAAGAAACAGCTGAGAAGCAAAGTCCTTGACAGTCTGGAAAAAGTTACAAGGTTTGCATTCCAGCTAATCACAATGAACCATTATCAACAAATGGGGGGAAAAAAAACTGGAACAGTAACAAAATTACTAAAGTCTAACAAGATTTCTCCAAGAGCACATCAACAACTGATCTAAGAGGTCAAAAAGGACCCAAACATCATCCAAAGAACTCCAGACCTCACTTGTCTCAGTTAAGATCAGTGTTCATCATTGATTCCCTGTTATCACAAATGCTTGATTGCAGTTCTTCCTGCCAAGGGTGGCACAACCACTTATTGGTTTAGGGAGCAATGCAACAGTGCCAGATAGTTTGGATAGTTTTTTTTTAAAGCATTTAATGTGCGTTATCTTTGTCTTATATTAAAACTATTTTCATGTTTGTTTGATCAGAAACATTTACGTGAGACAAATGTGCACAATGTTTGGCACAATTTGTGTGGCAGGAAAATCATGTTAAAACCAAAGTTAGTGAGTTAACCTTGTTTTTTAAATTGCACTTTCTAAAATCATATATGACATTTATGTATTAAAATCTATTTGTTTTTATATGAGAAAACATCTATTGATTATTTATCATCTAAATCAGTGATCCTGCAAACTGCTGGGAAGTGAAACCAAAAGTCAGCAGTTTCTTCCCATTGCCCTTCCCAAGTTGTCAGCTTTAAAACCAAATCACTGAGAGATTTTCATTCATGAGCGGTGTGCCATGCGACAGCTGTGTTACAGAGCTCTGTGTCTACAACTCAATATATGCAGTACTGAATGACCTACAATAAGGTCTATCATCAATCAAAGGGTCACCATAGATCACATGTTTACTACTTTCCACAAATTACAGCTTTGCTGAGGCCAGGTTCAACTTGTGTCTTATACCTTTTCAGGAACGTTCATCATAATATATTAAAAGAGCAGATAAACTGCCTCTCCTAAGAGGAAACCATCCACAGCTCTTGTGTATGAAGCCAGTGAATAAATGTTGTGCTAGATGCAACATTTGCGATTAGGGAACAAATAGACTACTGTCGTGTTTGAGAGCAGACTTAATTTAGACAAATATTCATGAAATGTAATCTTTATTTTATTTTTATTTTTTAGCTTTTTGGGGGTTGGGGGTAGGGGGCTGACTATATACATAGTTAATTTCCAATAATCAAAGATGTAAAGTACATAAAACTCCAGCTAATATTTCTGATAATAAATATATTTTATTAGGATTGACTTTAGCTTTGCGCTAAAACTACAGCATAAAACTATGTAAGCATGTCAGATTAGCAGCATTTTAGAATATATTGTTTATATAGAAAACGCGTCTTTTTCGAGAATAAATGCAAAATAAGTAAATTTAGAAATTTATTAATAAAATCAAGAAAACAACACTTGAATATTCACTGAAAATTAAAAAATGCTAGCCTACCCATTTTACAGGTAATGAATTTTATTAATTTTTTTCCAACCCAAATGTTAAAAATACCAAAAAGAACAAAATCTTTGTCCATAAAATGGTTAGTGTTTTGATCAGAGTTTACCTTGGTTTATATTTTATTATTATTGCCAAGCAGGTGTTTTGAACACGTCTCTATTTAAAAAGTGTATCTCTGGTCTCAGAAGATGAGTCCGATTCAGCAGTTTTGTTGCTCTTTTCAGCAGAATTCTTCATCTTCATCAGATCAGATGCTTTGATTATTTCGTGGTCATAGTCTAACTCTCTGTTGTCTGCAGCATAGACTCTACAGGAACCTACACCGCAGATGCTGCTGCTTTTGACTTTTTCAGGATTCCGATTGATTTGCACTAAGGTTTTTTGTTTTTTTTTACGATATATTGCAAATAAAGAGATCATAGTATTGTAACCAAAGGAGAATTTTAAGCTCAAAAGCACATGTGCAAAATAAATCAGAGCTGGCAGAGCTCTGAGTTACAGCTGGAGTGAGCAGATAAACAAACTGTTATTATTTTGAAATAACCCGTGCACGAATCTGCTGAAGAAAAATCCCTTAAGATTCACTGGTGTGAAATTAGCTGAGAGGTGGCGAAGTGTTTTCAGACATGTCTCAGAGAAAGTATTCACAGAAACAGCTTGACACCTTGGAACACTATGCTTCTTTGCTTTCTTGCAGAGAGCCACATTGAAAAATTTCTACATCCATCACATCTGCGTAAGTGACCTTTAGTAGTTTTGGCAGCTGGATTAGCCATGCTACCCCTTTCTGTTTATTTCTAGTCAAAGATGTAAGAAAACCTCCAAATTAGTTGACTTTTAAATATAAAGTTAATGTAGGAATGCAAATATTTACAGATCTTGAGAAATCTTAACAATATTATTTCTGGCAACAATGATTTCCAAGAAATAACTTGCATCACACAGGTACCACTACATATGAATAATGGGTGTTTTCATTATTGTGTTGAAGTATAAGGAAATCAGCTGCCATTGTGTTATGAACATGCTCCCCTCTAGGTTAACAGGATATTGATCCTTTTGGGACTATTCAATCATTCAAAGCCTGCATGACCTCCTCTGACTAATGACTGAAGAGGAATAAAAATAAAACACAGTAAGAACCACAGGTAAATGACAAATTAAAGGAAAACCCAACACAAATTATCTTGGCATTGACTCTGTTCCTGGAGCTGAACTGAAGAGATGAAAGTCTTTCTTCCGAAAGATATTTATGCATTTGATGATTTAATGTTTGCGTTGAGCATCTATCTGGTGCTGTATGAAATCTGGCGATCAGGAAAGCCATAGTGTGCACATTATTTTGATATGCATCAGATAATTCAGTGATCCCTTATGTCATCCTGCAAAAGATCACGCCCATCAGGACATAAACATGTCCTTCAATAAGTGGAAAAGTGGACTCCACACTTGCCAGTAAAATAGCTTCCTATCTGTGGTCAATAGATCAGGTGTATTGGCCACTTTTACATCCCTGGGAAATGTTAAATGGCATTAACCCTGTGAGTTCTTTTAGTTGATATTAGCTTTCTCACCTTAAGTCTCATGACACTTTGCCCCTTGATATGTACAATACTTAAAAATAAAGGTGGCATAGCACCTTTTATATATTTCATCAGCAGAAATCCTTAATATTCCTCCTGCCAATTCACGAAAATGAGATGAGTGCAAATTGGCCTACTGAATGCACTGCTTTAATCAGCATGGATCAGGATGCAGATTTAATCTTGGCTTCTGCTTTTACTCAGCAGTTTAGATGTTTGGGCTATGGCTGTGTAAATACACTTAATAGCTCTTGCATAAAATTAGCGGTAATTTTAATTACTGAAGGAGAACACAGATAAGGCTCCCTGCTTCACGCTTATCTGAAAATAAGCAACATATAAAGCTGGTAAAAGAACAAACGGGTTTCTATGAATAAAATCATGAGCTTTTATTTGTGAGGCAGTTTCAGCACGAGTCCATAACAGATCATTTTTAAAGTAATTTTCTTACACAGTTCTGCAAAGGCACAATCAAGTACTCCAACATGCCTCAGTCCTGGCAGTGTTTTGGCAGATTTGTCCCATATTTCACAACACACGCTCCAACCTCTGTTCAAAGCAAGGCTGCCTAAAAGAGCGAACGGGCTGCAGCATCGATTTTGCCACCGAGTTACTGAGCTGTTTGAGAAGCATCCAGAGGAGAAGCATCATGAGCATCAGGAGACCGAGAAGCATCCCCACGTACAAGCTCAGGTTCCAGCCCCAGCCCAGTGCCAGCGGCAGCGACGTGGACGCCACAACAAATCTTCTGGGGGCAGGCATGGGGTTAAGCAGCAAGCCACTCTTTACACTACCAAAAATGGTCTTTAACAAAGTTAGATCTTAGGAGTTAAACAGATGTTATGCCGTAGCTGCACGAGTCATCATTCAGCCAGGTATCCAGCCGTTTAGGCTATGTTATAGAATTCCCATCAGTTTCCATGGTTAAATCCTCCTGTTAGTCACAAGTGTGTGCAGTCAGTAATAAAGGAAACCTGCTGAGAGAGTGCATGCTTTTTGAGCGGTCCACGCTTCTGAGATGAAAATCCTTTCTGCGGCTGGGCTCCACTTCCCCTCTCCTGTCAGACTCCTTGCACAAAGCCAGCCTCCCAATTTATCACGAGGGGGAGCGTGAAATACCTTCAATGCTATTGGCCGACTATAACTCGCGTTCAGATAAAAATCAAGCCGTTGTTGAATGACAAGTGGAAAAGCATTTAGTTTGAAACAAAAACTCCAAACACGGGGTGTTTGTCCTTATTTTCCCCTTCCCTTGTTGAACAGAACCTTAAATGCCTTGAGTGGCTTTTGATATTTCAAAAGCCTACTTATCCTGTTGTAAGAAAGGCTGCACAGGAAAACTTTACTGGTTTAAAGAACTGACTTTACCTTTCCCATAATTACCACTCCTCAATGGCACTTTGTCCTCAATTCAAACAGAAATCCCATTTTGGATACCCAGAAATTAGTTTAGCCTTATACGAACAACCAGGGCTCACATTCCTAAGATGATGTAAGCTTTTAAGAACTTGTCCTCTGCTGCCCTCTTGAGTCTAGGGTGTTGATAAAGCATCAGAAAATGTATTTAAAAGAATTTTATTTACAAGAGCCATAGTTTAACAGTGCAGAAGATGTCCCAAAAAAGCTTTCAAGACACCAATGTAATCAAATGACTCAATGACAGACAAACTACACTTTAATCTGCATCCCATTAGGCCAAATGGTCCAAGGTTACACCTCTTAAAAAAAACTAGGCAACCCTGCACCCTTGCTTAGGAAACTAAGCTAGAAAAAAAAAAAAAAAAAATTGAGGCCACAATCTGTTCTGTGGGTTTAGGTACATGTGCAGGTCAATTAGCAACACTGAGGAGCCAAGTAGCCCAACAGTGCTATAAAGCCTATAATTTGTCTGATTAAAACTTCTTGATTTTGCCAATAACTGTAGTGTGGCATGAATCTTAGACTTTACAATATAAAAATTACAAAAAAAAAAAGTCAAAACATCTAAAATACCTAGTGCTACTCCAAAAAGAGCAGGGCATTTGATATTGTGGCACACATCATTAAGTGACAGGGGAGTACAACATGGATAGAAGGGAATGAAGTAGTCAGTTCAGCTGCAGTTTAGTTGGTGCATTGATGCTTGAGACTTCATGGTACCTGTGGAAGAGACAAGGGTTTAGTACTTTAGCACAAATAAAGAAACCCAGACTGTTCCAAATGTAAACAAAGACTCCATGAAGTTTTCAAACAAATCTGCTGACTTACTTTGTGCCCTTGTACTTCTCCCGGACAGACTGCTGTGCATGCTGAGGGGCATTGAGGTATATGCGGTGAAGATCCTCAATGCACGGCATCAGATCTTCCAGAGAGTAGCCAGTCATCTCGTTCAAGGACTTGGGCTAAGGAGCACAACTTTGGTCAGTTTGTGTCTTCAAATATACAAATACATTTCCCCACACACTAAACTAAAGCTTGCATAAACTTGGACAAGTTTAACTTTAAACAACAGTTAAGAGTAGATGCAAGCTCTGAGTTATTGGCTGTGCTGCTGGACACCATTGGCATTTCCACCTACATATAGACCAATACCTCCTAGTTGCCCATTTGTACAAGTCTATAGAGCTCACCCATGAGGCACCAGTCACTGTGGTGTTAGCCAGAATGTAGGCCGCAGCTGCTGTCTGCGATGGCAAGTATTTCAAGAAGGGGTCTGAATCAACCAGGCTGAGCTCACCAAGGTACTGAAGATGAAAAACAACAACAAATGTTTAGACAACGCACTTAAGACATCACTTTCAGACTACAGAAATCTCATGCCCACCATTGCCAAGCTCTCCACTTGTTTGGTAACAGCATGCTGCAGGAAGTACTGAGTGAGAAACTGGTTTATTGTTGGTGCTGCCAGGTCAAATGAGAGCACTTTAAGCACCAGATGCTCCATTCTTAACACTTGCTTCTTTGTGTAGGTGTCGTCTGTGATGTAAACAAACTCTGCCACCTCTGGTGGGTAGATCTCTTCAAATTTCCTGCATAACATTCAAAAGGAACAAATGTAATGTTTGCAAAGTAGTGGGCTTTGAACATTTGTAGAATCTGACATGCAAAGAGGTACATACGAAGCTAGCAGCATAGCTGCAGTGCCAACCAGCTGAAGTTTGCCTCTTAGGACAGACATAGAGGAAAGGAAGCGATCAATGTAGTTAACAGCCAGATAAAGTGTCTCATTCTGGAGCTTGTACTCTTCGCCAACTTCGACCAGCCAATCAACCAGAATGGCTCGCATGCTGTTTGTGATGTCAGGCTGCTTCTTCATGTAGCCAGCTTTAGGCCTGGTTTTCACCTGTGGGGTGACAATCTAGTTATAAAGAGCCAGTTTGCAAACAGGATCAGATAACCATCAACAGGTTTAGGTTGAAAAATGTTGCCAGGGGACATGTCTAAGATGGCAGCACTGCCAGAAAATTCTCATATGCTTTTTGCTTTAGCACTTCGTATGCTAATTTCTCACCTCCATCTCCCTCAGGTAGCTGTGAATTTCAGCTGCATATTCTGGGGCCTCATTTACATTCACTGGTTTTTCCTCCCCCTCAACCACAGACATGTCCATTGGAGAATCTGAGAAGAGTTTTATATTTAGTAAACAGTAAAAACCCAGATCAGAGTAACAGTTGCTAGCGTCATTTCCTTTAAACCCACCAAAGCTGACATCCATCGCTGATGGAATTTCAATAGTGGCAAGGGGCTGCCGGAGCCGTGCCACAGCACTGATCTCCAGTGGGGATTGTTCAACTGTGGGCTTGGCTTTGATACTCTCAACTGCTTGCAGTGGCTTCTTGACACAGGCTCCATCAGGCTCATCAATATGGATCTGGAAAGCGGGTTGCTTGGCCAGTGGTTTATCAAAGCAGCTTTTCCCAAAGTCTTCATTTTTACAAGACAAGGATTGTGTTGAATCCTGGAAGCAAAGAAATATTCAGACATGGCCCACAGAATAGAAACTTTGTTAGATTAGATCTGACAGCAACACCATCCAAGGGCATACATGCTGCTCAACTTAGTGGTTAGATGAAGACTTTTCATTACAACACTAAGTGTGCTGCACTTGACTGAGAACATTCAGATGATATTACACTAGTCAGGTTCAATGTTAATACTCAATTGTTACATCCGCTGACGGGAGGGAAACGTTAATAAAGCACCCTCAAGAAGGCATGTTTGTTGTTTTAAGCAGCCAACTACATGACTGACTTCACCTTAATGTTGATATTAAAATGGCGGTCAATTGGTGGGAACGGGGCGTACACACAACTACGTTCGTGAGTTTGTAAATATTAAGTTTTAAGAAATAATAAAAGCATCAAGTATTTTTTAACAAGCAGGGACATGGTAAAATGTATTGGCTCCAAAACATGTAGTCAACAGCAAAGCGCAACACCAGCTAAGCAGCTACCAGTTAGCATTGTTACCTGCTTTCCGCCGACTTGGGATTTGTTCCTCTGGTTGTTCTGCAGGGCTCCTAGCACGGTTCTGTTGGCGGCTTGCTTCGGAGGAAGGTTTTCTTGGTTTTCAGTCGCCACAGGTCGGGCTTTAAGCGAGCCTCTGAGTCTCTGCAGTACATTTTCCTGATTCTGGTAGTCACTAGCCGCGCTTCCCTGTGCTCTGTTAGCGCCTGACATGTTGCCCTCCAACTCCAGCCTGCCTTCCGCTAGCTTAACTACAATTGTTGAGTACTTGTTAACTAGTGAAATGAGCCCTCAAATATGATGCGTGGATAAAGGGATCAAGTATATGGATATTATAGCGAGGTTATCATTAGCGTCTACCTTGCCGAGGAAGCTTAAAGAATTGTTCACAATCAAAACTAAGCTGTTGAGATGGTAACCACACTTGGAATCCCCGTGCTAAAACAAAGCAGACAAAAACAAGACATGCACAATTGGTGGTACAATGGCTACAGTCGGAAGACAAGAATTTAAGTCGCCATAACGCACGAGTTTCGAATTCACTACAAACCTGGAAACAAGGGAGCTAACCTCGATCCATTTACACAGAAACCTGTAGAGACTGCAGCTTTCTCTCAGTTCAAGTAGCCCGCGAGGATTGAAACAGACCAATCAGAAGCCGCGAAGGCAGTGACGCGTAAAATGTACGGGGAACCGAAGAGTACAATAATCTTCTGATTACTAAATTCAAAACCGGTTTGGCACGTTTGAACGTAAAATCGCTTTATTAAGTCAGCTGGGCCTGTGTAGCAAATGCACGCATAAAGGATAAGATCTTGTTTTATTTTTTTCCTTTTTTTATTTTGCTATCTTCATATATGTTCAGACACACAGGTTACCCAAGGCATTTAATCATATGAACCATTTGTAATCTGTTCTTAGTGACTAAAGACTTGTGTTGGGAAGTACTAACTGCATGCAATACACACAATAATTAAACCACTTTTTGAATTAGCTTGGTTATAGTTTAATTTTTAATGAATACATAATCAGAGAAGTTGTTACCTGGATAACTGAGTGCGCTTGCCTTTAAAATCAGTCTGAAACTAATTATTTGCTGTCTGCAAATTGCACATAAAACCAAAGTTTATATCCTTCTACTTTTGCATAAATAGTGGACCGCTATAATTTACATATGACATATGAACAGGCACTGCTATAAACGCAACTAAATATCAGCTTTTACTGATATGACTGTTTTTTTATATATATATATATATATATTTATTTACAAAGCAGTTTGAACTATACTTCCATCCAGTTATTTAGTTAACAATT